CAGAGCGCAAAAGCTAATCGAGCATTCTTGACCGCTCAGCTATCGAAGACAAACATTCTAACTGAGTCATTAGCCATACATGAAGTGTTTAACCAGGTATGAGAGGTTTAATTAAAATTGAAAATTTTTATTCAAATTTTGTTGTTTTAATTATTTTCTAATGGAAGATTATTGTTTTAGTGTGTATTGCTCGGAATTCCGCTTTGGCCTTCTATACTTAAAGAGGATACATTCTATATTTTCTGGTAATGTATAAGTTTTTTTTTATCAGAGCTTAGGTTACAAATATCTGCTCTGTTCCCCCACGACCGCCACTCGTGGACACGACTTTACCTATGTATACGGAAGGGGGCCAACCAATCAGAGGCGTGTAAGAGAGAGAAAGGTTGTACTGCTATTTGTCTTTTGTCTCTTTCATCTCGTCTCACAGTCGGAGCATACAATGCTTCCTCCATGTATATATTCTCTAAGGTTAAGTCTATCGCGTTGCAGGATAGCCCTATTGCGCGGCGTAATAGACTTAACACAGTCACTTAGGGCTCGGACACATGGAACCGCGTAAAACGTAAAGCATATCGCGTATCGCGTAAAAGTAAAGGAAGGTTAGGTATACGCCACTTTGTGGTCACATAGAAAAGGCGTAAAAGCCTCGCGTATTCGCTCCGAGCCGATACAGAGGTTGCGCCTCCTCTAGCTGAAATCAGGCAACATTTCTTGCATGTAAATAACGGTTTAGAACATATATACATACGTATAGCTGCTTGTGATTGGCTGAATAAGACAGCAGGAGAGGATCGTCGTTCTCTCTCTAGCTTGCCAAGTGCCAATCACAAGCAGCTGTACGTATGTATATATGTTCTAAACCGTTTGTTTACATGCAAGAAATGTTGCCTGATTTTGGCTAGAGGGGGCGCAACCTCTGCATCGGCTCGGAGCGAATTGCGTAAGTGTGAAGTAGAGGACCGTTGACCAATCTGCTGTCTTGTCAACAAAAAAAGCTTTCAAAGTTCTCAATACAAGTGAATTCTAACCTGCGTACATGTAAAAAAAAAATCTTTCAAAGTTCTCAATACAAGTGAATTCTAACCTGCGTACATGTCAAAAAAAAAGGTTTCAATCAAATACTTTTTTTTTCTTTTTATTTGAAAGCCGTTAATACATTTCATACAGCTAAATCATTCCACTTCTCACTTTTTCTTTGCGATATTTGGTCATTGCATAGGTCGTATAGACTTTCCACAATTTGCCTGAAGTTCTTACGATTTATTTTTCCTCCATGTCAGAAATTCGATTAATTATACAATTGATACAGTAATTGTTGTTATTGACATTAGCTGCTGACTGTGTTTACAGCTTGCATACTTTATTTACGCTATACGCGAAAAAATTTGTCATCGCGCACATGGGTACAAAAATACGGGCGTAACTTTATTTTTGCCATGAGTGCGAGCGAGATAGCATGTGCTAAGCCAACGAAATACTCGCTGTGATTGGTTTAAAAAAACTTACGCGCGTATTTTTTACTCCAATGTGCGCGATGACAAATTTTTTCGCGTTAAGCGTACCTTACCTAACTTTCTCTGATCCTATAATTTTACGCGATACGCGATACGCTTTACGCTTTACGCGGTTCCATGTGCCCGAGCCCTTTGGCTGCCGTCGCATGGAGCGCAATAGACCATGCAGGATAGAATTGTCCTCGCAAGCGACTGTGCGTCGCGCAATAGGGTTATTCTGCAGCGCAATAGACTTAACACAGCCGCTTATGGAGAAATTCCTAGATTTGTTCACCTAACAATCCAGGGACGGTCGGGGACAGTCTGGGCGAGTCGGAGACGAAAGTGAGCAAGTGCTCTTCTCCGATCGTCCCTGACCGTACACGATGGGAAGTTGTACATGTTAGGTTAGGTTAATGTTGTATGTAAACAATAGTTTGTAAATAAAGAAGTGCAAATACAGAAAAGTTTGTTTACTTTTTGCATTAACCTAACCTAACGTGTACAACTGCGCATCGTGTACGGTCAGGGACGATCGGGGACGATCGGAGAAGAGCACTTTTTCACTTTCGTCTCCGACTCGCCCAGACTGTCCCCGACCGTCCCTGGATTGTAAGGTGAACTAATCTCCTATCCTGCTCGCTCTATTGCGCTCCATGTGACTGCGGCCTAAAAGGCCTTAAGTGATAGTATCGGTTGTGCGATACACTTGGCCGTGCTAGATGTAGTCATGTAGTACGCGTACTGCATCAGACATTGCGTGAAGTTGTGTTAATGAATAGAGCATTACCTATTGCTAAAATTTGTCGTCGGCCGAATGTAGAGGAAATGCTGTCCATGGATCCCACCTCACCATTGTCCACCATGGGAACCAAACGAAGGAGGTTATGTCATCTTAAGAGGGATATTACGGTTCCTGTGGCCCCGAACTCCTGGTTGTGTATTTAATTATTGGGCTGTTGTACGGGGCCATGTAAACCGTAATTGTGCTGTTTTTAACACATGATTGTTCCAACATTCGTACCTGAATAATAGCAGTGACGCAGTAAATTTGTATGTTTTCAACAGCTCGTCTCGCACTATAAAGCGCAAAAAGTTTGACGATGAGGTTGTGGAGACGACGTTTAACCTTCAGCCCTCACCTTCTTTTCCAAAGACGATCTCACGATCTCGCACTGTCTCGGCATCGTCTAGCTCGCTTGATACAGTTGCGGGCCCGTTGCCACTTACCATCCCTTCCCCACATGTTTCTCTGCCCACTCCTGTACCTGCACCTGTGTCCATACCCCAGCCTGAACGTAGTATTAGAAGGCCTAGCAGACCGAGTGGTTCGAGTGGCAGCAGGAAAAGCAAAAAAAGTAAAAATCATCCACATTCTGTCAATGCCACTAAGGATCTTGGCAGATGGAAGCCAATTGATGATCTGGCGCTTATTACTGGAGTCCAGCAGACCAACGATTTGAGGATGGTATGCGTGTAATAGTGGTATCTAAGCATATAATAGACTCACGATTTTTTTTATTCATTTCAGGTGCACAGAGGAACAAAGTTCTCTTGCCGTTTTACACTACAAGAAATTCAACAGAGATGGTATGCTTTGCTATATGACAGTGCTGTATCACGCGTGGCTGTGCAAGCAATGCGCAATTTGCATCCAGAATTAATTACTACTGTTCAAGCAAGAACTCTATACAGCAAAAGTGAGGAAGATCTCCTTGGCACCATCAAATCTGTTACGTGTCTAATGTTACCACTATTGCAATTGTTACATTTGTAAATTTGAATTTCTTGAAAATGTAATGAAACATACAATTTTAGACCTCACAGCCAATGCAGGAAGACTTTCAACATCTTTTAGAAGCCAATGCCCAAGTTTTTTACCCTGCTAGAACAGCAAAAGCATTGCTAGCTCACTGGCAGTTAATGAAACAATACCACTTACTACCTGATCAAAACTCTCAAAGTTTACTTAGAGGAGAAACTGTGTTGAATTTCTCAGATGCTGAAGATGTGATGAATGATGCTGAGTTAACTGAACCAAAGGATGAAGTTCTTGATGGAGAGCTTCAAACTGCTGACCGAAAGAATAAAAAAGAAATTAAAATACTGGAAAATGAGCTTGGGAAGTGGCAGGTTTTAGTCGACAATGTTACTGGAAATAATCAGCCAGACTTTGATAACCAAACCCTAGCTATACTGAGAGGTAGACTTGTAAGGTATTTGATGAGATCACGAGAGGTAATTTGTTATTGATACTTAAAAATTTTTTCAACATTACGCAGTTCATGAATAATTATTTTTTAAACCATAATGTACAGATAACAGTAGGTCGTTCAACAAAAGATCATAGCGTGGATGTTGATTTGATACTAGAAGGCCCAGCCTGGAAAATATCACGACGGCAAGGCACAATTAGGTTAAGAAATAATGGTGATTTTTTTATGTCTTCTGAAGGAAAACGACCAATATTTGTCGACAGTCGGCCCATTCTTGCTGGAAACAAAATGAAACTCAATAATAATAGTGTCATTGAGGTATACAGATTATAAATTATAATTCTAACTCATGATCATAGTTTCATGTTTGCATGATTGTTTTCAGATTGCTGGGTTAAGATTTATTTTCTTGATAAATCAAGAACTTATATCTGTTATAAGGCAAGAAGCTGCAAAATTAAATTTGAATCCATAAAATTTGTATCCATTCTTTACATTATTGATGAATATAAAGGAATGTGTATGTATTGATTAATCAACATCTTAGTAGTTTCTTAGCTAACGTTTTTAAACAATTTTTTAACCATGTATGAACGAATGTACATAATTTTTTTAGTCTTTACTAGTTTGTAAATAATTTTGTATAAGTAAACTTAAGTTTCTTATGAATACTCAATAGTTTCTTATAAACTAGAGCAAGTTATTTGCTTCAATTAATGTACAGGTAGTTCCCATTTATTGAGCGTAAAAATTTTAATAAATAAGTTTGGAACTTCAAATCATTAATTATAGAATCAAAAAATATCCAAAAAGTTCTGGTACACAAAAGAAAATGTAAGTTAACTTAATTTTTGTATGCTATGCAAAACACCAATAAATTCTCTGATCAACCTCATGCTATACATTAAATGATTTCCGATTCTGACTTGATAATATTACTCTAAATCAAACACTTTTGTCATAATAACTAAAACGATTAGTGACACTTCATTGTTAGTTAAAGTTTCAATATAAAATTGAACTCCTAAATCTCTTACTTCGTGTTTCCGGATACTTTAAATCAAATGCACACTCTAACACTTGATGTGTAATTAAACACTTATACTAAAGCTTAATATTTATTTATATACAAACTGAAGTTTCGCTTTATTGACGTGACTCTTTCTTAAAATGATTATGAACAAAATAACATGAAACCTTGAGGGATTATTTATTAAGTTACAACCCGGCCAAAAAATCATGTTATTTATTACGTGACGATATCGAATTGTATCAAATCACGTTATAAATCACGCAAATAATCACGTGATGTGCAAAAATCACGCTATTTATCACAAATTCATCAGGGAATACACTACAGTGGGGTATACCCCTTAAAATTTTTGAGTTGGCTGACTAATATAGGTAAACGCAAGAAAATGAGAAGTAATACATAAATTCTAAACATGTGCTCTTATAGCAACTAAGTATTACTTTACTGAAAGTTGTAACCAAGTCAGAGAATATAGAATATATCTCTACATAAAGTAAAGAGATATATTCTATATTCTCTGGCCAAGTTATTTATTTACTGGACATAATTAAGTAAACAACTGATACAACAAAGTTTACGTAAGACTAAACATACTACCATTTCAAAATATATATGTTCACGGACTTATCAAAAGATATCAAAATAAACTTAGGCATTTATTTTCGCATCCTATGTTAAAAACACAGACAAGCATCAGCTGCTGGTATTTTGATGACTGTCTAGTCTAGGTTCACTTTCGATTAATTTCTTATTAAATTACCGAATAAACGGTACAGACAGTAGAGCCCATTTAGTCATTGGGGATTAAGCACTTAGGAAAGCTTAGGACTACATATTAGTTTTATTTATAAATTTAGTTGTACTTATAGTCTAGGCTCACTGACAATTTATTATTCAATTACCGAATGAACGGTACAGACAGTAGCGCCTACTGAGTTTCTGGGGATTAGGCACTTGGGATTTTAGTTAATTGTTTATTTATTAAACTGTCACGTCCAAGCTTACTGACAATTAATTTATTGAATTACCGAATGAACAGTACCAGACAGCATCTATATTATAAAAGAGTTGAAAAAGAATTCTTGGAAGTATTCTTTTAGTATGCTTTATAAGAATATAGTAAAATAATTTATTAAACACGCTTCTAGCAAAAAAGGATGGAAAAAGTATTCTTTTTATATTAGTAAATGTGTGATATTTTTGTTGGCAAACAATACTGGCTACGTCACCAAAATAGAATTCGCGAAGACATTTTATAAGCATTATTTAAATAATAATAGTGCTATTAAAGAATACTTATCGATTTCTTATATATCATATCAATCATATTTTATTTCACTTAGTAATACATAAAAAAAGATAGCGTATAATATAAGTAGCACGATGTACATGCATTTTGATCTATCTTTAATAATGTTATATAACATTTAGTAAGTATTTGTATGTTATAAAATAAACGTAAAAAGTTGCTTTGTGTTACCTTCAAGCATTCTTTTATAACGCAAACGAGATTGGAATAAGAATGTTATTAGAACGTTTTGTTCTGCTTAAGGAACACACCACATGTGCTGAATACATTATGCAACAAACAACGAATCGTCGCGGCTAAGCCGATCGTCATCTCGTTATCCCGAGTAAAACGCGTTTTTATTTTTACTTTCGTTTAAAATAGGCCCAGTGAAGTTACAACGTGTGGATCAATACTATAGGTAAGAATATTTGTAAATAACGTATAAGGTAAATGTCCCTATTATGATAACAAATTTCATCACACTTACATCTTTAATTTTTTTTTCTTAACTGTGAGCTTTAACAGTAGAAATTTTGGTATTAGCTGGTGCGCTATAAATTTACCATTATTATTCTAATTTTTAAATATGGTTCTTAGTTGTTAAAATACTTTATTTTATAAAAAGATTATGAGACCAAAATGTACATAATTATGAAACGTTGTACCTATTGTTTCATATTATTTCCCTATTTATTATGTCCCTTATTTTAAAAAGCGTAAATTGATTATAATATTTCACGACAATTAAAGCTTTTCCACTTGCATGACACTGTTTTGTTGAACCAAATTAATTATATCGTTCATTTGTTTACTAGAAATATAAAATTCCTGGTTGAAGTTTGTGCCATAATACGTACAGCTCAAAAGATAGGTTATGTACGACTTTGTCCCTATTTATGGAACTATCTTTAAAATTGGTCATTTATTGTATGTAAAATAAGATTTTTCTTGTGAATTCATAAAGATGCCTAAAATATGCAACTACCACAATTTTTTTATCAGGTTAGTTGTATAACAAATACAAATTTTGACTACATGAAGCACTAGAAAGCAGGATAGCTATACAAAAAAAACGGAAATCACTTATTTAGTCATCGAATTTATCTAATACAAACAAAAAGGTAATACACTTGTGTACATATGCCTACGTAATTCTGTCATAGATACATTTTTCACAAACACATATGTATACCACTCATATTCACAACATTGACACTATATTTTTTAATATTTTTTACAAATGTATGTACAATTAATATAAGTATATATCTAAAAAAAGCTGAGCACTTAATTAGTACTCTTTGGCATGCATCTACTATGCAAAAAACCCCACAAGGTGTCTCCAGACATCTAGAGCTGTGTCGTTCTTGGGCACTCAACTCAACTGACAATGTTTTTTATTTTATCAGTTCATAGTTTAAAATCGTAATGCTAAGGTCTACAGACTGTCGTGAGTGACAGATTTTAGTGCCCGTTGACACTGTGAACGTATGTGTATAATAATACTGTACATATATATTGTTATCATCCGTTCACTGCATTGCAATATACGTCTACACAAGAATGAAATACTAAAACAGCCAAAAAATTATAGAGTGCATTTATCTCATCATTGCAATAGAGTGTTTTGTGGTCGATAGAGGGTACACAATTCATTGGGCAAAGTTTTGTTAATGGTAGATATAAGGTGGTCGTGATTTTAACATTCAAAATGATCCTTCCACATAGTGGCTAATCTGCGCAGTAGTGCTTGCTGCTCCCCCCACTAAACATTCAGTCCAAACATATGGTCCACGTTTTGTTCACTGCTTTTAGTGACTGCTCTTCTGTCTGTATGGTTGTTGTTTCTCCATTAACCATTTACTCTAGTTAGATAGTGAGGCAAAGTTTATCTTATCTGATTAAGGGCCGATAGCTGCTTTTACAGACTTGGCTCCTGCATTAAACTTTCTTGGCCAAAGTTTATGATTAGAGTAGATGGTTAAGGGAGAAACAACCATGCAGGAAAGCAGTCACTTAAAGCAGATAGTCACATTTGTGTGGTTTTAGTCGATTTTCACTGAAGCTGGTACGATTAACAATAATCAGAATAGTCAGCCAAACTCGAACAGGGTGTATGATTACAGGGGTAGTGAGCAGACACAACACCACCTTACTTCTAATATTTACAAAACTGTGCCCAACTCATTGTGTCCCCTTCAATTGGTGAAAGTCACACAAACACTCCATCGCGATAACCAGATACATGCACACTGTATTGTTGTTGTAGCTGTTTTATTATTATTATTTCATTTACACATGGATATAAGTAAATTGCAATGCAGAGCATGCATAATAACAATACATAAATGTGTAGCGCCGCAGGCCTCTGGGCCGAAGATCCTAAACCGGCGGAAGCAGCAGCTCGCCCCGTGCGAGATTTTTGCGGCAGCAAAATTAGGCGCTGCTGCCACCTCTGTTCCTTCACGGAATCTCTCCTTCAAAGCAGCCACCTAATGTGGCACACGGCAGTTCGGCACTGGCCCTCACCTCGACAGCACGTGCTACGTCTTGTGAGCCACGCCTCGACACAACGATCCATCTTAATAATTCTACAGTTTGTTAATCGTTAAAGTCAATTATATTATATTCTGATTAAACCTTGGCCTTGTCATTGTGTTAACCCTGTCCCTTCCGCTCGGCCTCCTAGAGCTCGTCAAGCTCACCGTTGTGAACTCTAAAGTGGTGACCCCGAAATTTAAAATTCGCAATTTGCGACAACGGTGCCAGCGAGGGCTGTTAAGCAGGACATAAGTGCAGTGCTGTGCCAGTGCGTGGAATTAAGGAAAAAAACACCTTACCTTCCACACTCCACCTGTAAAGCATAAACATTAACGAAACGCACGCGGCCTTGCCTCGTGTCAGCGCCCGCCATTTTTTTTGCGTCCCGTGCAAAGTTTTCGCGCGTCTCTCTCTCTCTCTCTCTCTCTCACGCACTT